TTTTTGACAGCCAGCGCCTCGCGACTGCAAATCAGGTGAAACCTTTCGGTTTGTGCGGTCAGAAGACGGGCCTCGCTACCACTGCACCGGCGGAGCGGCGGTTCAAACGAGGCCATGCACCACTGCCAACCACGGCAACTTGCACTTCCACGCACTTTGCCATGCATGCACTTCTGACGTCTGCTGCTGCCGCCGTTGTCCGCTCGGGAGCAGGGCTCGCGCTGCGTTGCCTGGACCCCCGAAAGCGCTGCACTGCAGTCGACTCGTCGGGTTGCATCCGCACTGGCCGCCTTCGGTGGACGCCGATGCTCGCCATGCTGCTGTCGGACCCTCCTTTTCGGCACAGCGCCCGAAGCACGATCTCGCCGTGTGAAGCCAGTGCGTATCTTTGAGCATCGATGGATCGTGATTGTGACTTGGCCGCTTCGCTCTGCTCGTCCGCTTCCCTTCCTTGGCATCACACATCCATCCATTCCTCTTGCTTTCCTGTCGGCCTGCTTCGCGCACTCATTTAAGCTCGCCATCCGTGGCTGCCTCGAAACCTTATTCCGATCTTTTCGCGGTCACCGCAACCCAAACTTTGTTGCTTTGCGCTTCGTTTCATTTCATCGAGCCAGGGCATCTCCTCATTCTCTCTTTCTCGACACGGCAAGCTCGGCATCACCGCGTTCTGCAGATGCTGAGCTTCGACACCTAGACAGCTCAGCCGCAACTCCAAGCTCGCGCCTTGCACTTGCAACCACCTTCCAGAAAGGCACCGTGATCTGAGCCAGCAGCCGCTCAACCGTGACGAGCACATCGCCATCATGCCCTCCGATGCCTCCGCCTCCGCCTCCGCCTGCGCTTCAGCCCCAGAAGCCTCGACGGCTGCGGCGCAACGCTCTCCGACAAACTCGGTTGACCTTCCGCTGTCCCGCTCGCACTCGCAGCAAGCTTCCCTCGATACAACTGCGCACTCAGATTCGCACGATTTGCCTCAACCTAGTCTTGCGCCTTCCATAAAGCCACGCATCAGCAGCATGGCACGCCCCCTGTCATCCAGCTCACATTCAACCAGCGACGATGGCAAAGAGCTCGACCTGACCCAAGCTGGTTCAGACGACATACACCCCATCATGGACTCCTCGGCCAGGTACAACAGCATCGACACATACAACCTCAGCACGCTATCTTTCACCGTCGATTCCAGCTCTCCAGACCACACTGCACCATCACGCTACGTCAACTTGGTACGTCCCGCCCGACCTGCCTCCCACATCGTCGAGGTACATGTTCATCACTTTGTAGCATCCTCTGACTTTTTTTTTCGTTTGCTCCGCTTGATCCAGGGTATGACAAGACCACTTTCTCACATCCCCGACGATCAAAAGGTCAATCCACGTGGCATACGCGACATCTTTGGCATCCCCGCGTCGCTAGTCGGCTCGGCAACCAGCATGAACGGCTCCACCACAGCAACTTCGGAGGCGAACAACTTCTTCACCAACCCATACTCGTGGGACACCATGGATGGAAAGGAAGAGCCGGACGACGCCTTGCACGACCCGAACTCTTCGCACGATGCTCCCGACGGATGCTTCGGAGGCGCCCTCGGTACCAGAGGCCTGCTCAACGTTGGCGTGCTCGTCGTCCTCGCCCTCGCACTAGTCGCCCTCTTCGGTGGATACCCCGTCATCGCCTACCTCAACAGGCATCACGAGAGCACAAAAGGTGGCTTCAACCTCGGCGGAGTCAACGCCTCGGGCCAAATCGCCAGCATACCCGGTCTGCGATCCTCTCTGATCGACCCAGACACGCCCGAGGACGCCTATACCACACTCAGCCCCGACGGCACAAAGAACATGAAGCTCGTCTTCTCCGACGAGTTCAACACCGACGGACGCTCCTTCTACCCGGGCGACGATCCCTTTTGGGAGGCCTCCGACCTGCACTACTGGGCGACAAACAACTACGAGTGGTATTCGCCCGAGGCCGTCACCACCGCAAACGGATCGCTGCAAATCACGCTCGCCGAGGTCGAGACCAACAATCTCAACTTCCGCGGAGGATTCCTCAGCTCGTGGAACAAATTTTGCTTCACCGGCGGCTATCTCGTGGCCAGCGTCCAGCTGCCCGGCTCCCCCCACGTCCCGGGTCTCTGGCCCGCCTTCTGGACCATGGGCAACCTCGGACGCGCCGGATACGGAGCCACCACCGACGGAACTTGGCCCTACTCGTACAGCGCATGCGACGTCGGCACTTTGATGAACCAGACCGACGCCAACGGCCAGCCCGCAGCCGCCGCCATCGGTGGAGACGTCATGTGGAATCGCAAAGCCGAGTCCAAGGCGCTGTCCTTCCTCCCAGGCCAGCGACTCTCGGCATGCACCTGCGCCGGCGAGGACCATCCCGGTCCCATCCTCAAGGACGGAAGCCTGCGCGGACGCAGTGCCCCCGAGATCGACGTCTTCGAGGCCCAGGTCGACGGCACGCTCGGCCTCACTGTCTCCCAGTCGATGCAGACGGCCCCTTTCAACATGTTTTACAACGTGACCAACTCGACAGGCCTAGCATACGAGTTCTTTCAGCCGACGTCGCACCTCAACCTGTACAATGGCCAGAACGACCAACAGGCACTTAGTGGCATCTCGCTCGCGTCGCAGCGTGCAGTGCAGCTGGGTGGAGACAAGACCTTTTCGACGTATGGCTTCGAGTACGAGCCTGGACCGACTGGGTACATCGACTGGATCTCGGACAGCAAGCGGGCCTGGAAGGTGCATGCGGCGGCGCTCGAGGCGGACCCGGTGTCGCAGATCAGCGACCGACCGATTCCCGAGGAGCCGATGTACATCATCTTCAACCTCGGCATCAGCGAGAACTTTGGCACGCCCGACTGGCGCCGGCTGCGCTTCCCCGCCGTGATGCAGGTGGACTGGGTGCGCGTGTATCAGGACCCGGACGCGGAAAACGTCGGGTGTGACCCCAAGGACTTTCCCACGGCCGACTACATTGAGCGCCACAAGGCGGCTTACTACAATGCCAACTACACCGTCTGGGGCGGCACGGCCGACGAGGGCGGCTACGGTGCGCTCTGGCCGCGCAACCGCCTCTACCCGGACGGATGCGCCGCACCCACCAGCACCCAGCCCGGCTCGCCCGTCCAGCCATACCAGCATGCGAGCCCTGTGCCGTCGAGCCAGATCGCCGTCGGCCAGAACTGACCTCCCTGCATCCATCTGTCCCGGCCACGGCAGTGGACCCGGCACGACGCCGTCGGTCCCTCCACCCACACTCTTTTGCATCTCTCACGATCTCGCACACAACACCGCATCCACAGCAATGGACAATCAATCCCGTTTCTCAGCACAAATTTCTAGTTTTACATGGCATGCGATCGTAACATTGCGCTAAGAGGCAGCGACTGTCGGTGCTTCGTTCATGAGTTCGCCTTTGCTGGAGCTGTTGCGATCGCCATCGACGTGCTCGCGTTTGCGCTTCAGTCCGTTTCTGTAGCTGATCAGCTCGTCGTCGTCTTCATCGCCGTACAGGTCGTCGTGCTCGCGTGGGGCAGCCGCTTGCAGTGGCATCGACATGAACTTCTGGCCGAGCGAGTGGTTCACGCCTATCGACGGGCTCGACTGCACGCCCTGCGTGCGAAGCTGAGCTTGCAAAGGGACCGAGCTGGGTGAGGCGGTCTTGCACTTCTTCTTGGCCGGGCCGGACAGGCTTCCTTCCTCCTCGCTATCGCTGCAACTCGTCACGCTGGTCGACTGCGTCGCATAGGACGGAGCGGCGTGCATGCCCGGCCTGACGAAGGCATCGCCCGCACTCAACCCCGCTGAGGCTGCCGGACCGAATCCGAGATCCCACTCGGTCGCGTCGAGCGAGAACACGGTTTCGACCGAACTGGACGAAGCATCCGAGCCCAGAGGACGCAGTTCGCGCACAGGCTGGTTGGTCAACTGCGCCAGCGTCTCGAGAATCGCGAGCGGATCGATGGATAGCTCGCCTCCGGCCGATGTTGTCAGCGATTCGACAAGCGAGTCCGCAGCAGCAATGCCCGCTGATCCGTTAGCCGCTCCGTTCTGCCCGATCATCTGCAGCAGCTGCAGATAGTCGGTTTGGGACGGAGCGACGCCAATTGGAGCTTCTTGCTGCTCCACACAGTGCTGCTCCACCGATGGCTGGTGTGCCAGCCCGAGATTCGCCGTAAAGTACGAGTGCAGAGCCGACTCGAGCGAGCTGCCTTCTGCCTGCACGCTATCAAACCCCATCGGCGACACTTCGCTCCCCTCGACCGAGCCGCCGAAGCCCGATGCGCGGTTGCTGTCCGCATCGCTGCCTGGGCTTGGGCCTTCCGTGGGCCACACCGGGCGCATCTCTCGCGCCAACGGCGGACTGGCCATGGGGATCTGCGGGAAAGCGAGGTTGCCCTGTCTCCTGGCATTCGTCAGCTTCTCGAGCTGCTCGTGCGCCATGTGCGCCGACGGCGATCGGTCCGACAGCTGCTCCAGAGCCCAGAGGCACTTTTCGATGCGTGCATGGCTCTCCTCGAGCTCCTTCCACTTGAAGAGCGAGCAGTAGCCTTCGTGCAGCTTGACTTCGGTCTTGACCACGGTGGTGATGCTGTGCACCAGGATCTCGGACCACGGCTCGGTGAGCAGCAAATTACCGCCCGAGTCTCGCACGTACTGGAACGTCGGCTCCTGATGGTTGAACGCCGTCGACTGGATCGCGCCGATCAGCAAGGCGAGGTCAGAGCACGCGCGGTCGCGCAGCCGCGGGAAGATGCCGGATCTGGCGCGCTCAAAGCGCGCGTGTTTATCGCTAGAGCCGGCCATATCGACGGTCTGCACCATCTCGACAAAGAGAAGCACGGCAAGGTACCACGGGAATGCGAGCAAAGTGTACCAGGACTGGATCGACGCCGGCAGCGAGGCGTGCGATTCGCGGCAGCTGTCAATGAGTCGACCGTAGATCTGGTTCCAGTGGTAGATGATGGAGAGACCGCTGCGGATGTGCTGCTCGACGGCCTGGGTGGACGCACGTCGCCAGAACGACATCTGAAGACGGCTGATCTGGCGGAACATGACGACTTTGACGGGAGTCGAGAAGGCGAGCGTCGCTGCCGCCTTTTTCTCATCGCAGGGCCACGAGGAGGCGAACTCTGTGGCTGCTTTGCGCTTGCTGATGTCGATGATGTAGTCATCCCAGATCCCCTTTCGACCGGCTGCAGGAGTCGGAAGCTCGCAAGAGGCTGTGTCGAAAGCATCGGGAGAGAAGGCGGCACCGGGTACCGAGGACATGACCTCGGAGTCTTCGTCGCAAACGACGGGCGGATGCTTGCGCAGGACGCTCGTCTCGGTGTCGATGACGACACATAGCCAGTAGAGCATGTGATAGGTGCCCTCCATGCGAGCGACCTCGTTCGGGCTGGCTTTGGCAGTGCCTGCGGTGTGCGGCGTGTTGTCTTCGGTGGACTGTCTGCGGCTTTCGAGGTCGCTCTGGATCTGCCGTGCCATCTTCTGCTTTTCGGAAGGCTCAAAGTCGGTGCCATTATGGGCGTTCGGCCCGGAGGATGCACCGACATGGTTGAGTGATGTCGCCTGGTCTGCGCTGGAAGATGCAGAAGCAGAGGGCTTGGTCTTGGATCCTGGGGCGTTCCAAGGGCTGAGGCCGCGACGCTTCTTGCCTTCGATCTTGAACTTGATGCTGAGGAGCTTGCGCATGGCTGCGACGAGGAGGAAGGTGCTGCCCTCTGCGGGTGATTGCCAGGAGCTGGTGTCGAGGGCGCAATTGTCGCTGTTGAGATCGATGTCGGGATCGTTGGCGGCTCTGTCCAAGACCTCACGCGGCTTCTCGGTCCAGGCGAAGATGATGAGCGCAAAGATGACGCGGAAGGAGTCGAGGTTGGCCACCTTCTGCAGCTTGTCCCTGGCGCATTCCCAGAGCGCAAGTCTGACCTTGTTTTCGGACGCCTTGCTGAGCTGTGGGCCCGCGGCGTGCAGGTTAGCCTTTCCGGCGAGGCCGCTGATCCAATGCGGGCTCCACTGTGCGGCAAATGCGAGCACGACGGAATGGAAGGCGTCCATGATGTCCTTCTCCCTGCTGAGTGCTGCGGAGGAGTGGCCGAGGAGGCCACGTGCGCCACGGTCGAGCTCGCAGATGCGCCAATAGACCAGCTGCTGACCGGCGCTCGACGAGAGGGCGCTGGGGAGTGGTGACGAGCTGGTGCGGTCGAGGAGCATGTACGGAGTATTGGCCGAGGTGATCCAGCATCTGAGAGCCTGCTCTGCGGCGCCTTCGTAGACGCGGATGAGACCGTCATTGAGGAAGATGCGGTCGATGGCGGTGGTCATTCGGTGGGCGGAAGAGGTGGGCGAGATCGTAGCCGAGGCTCTGTAGGCTGCGGCTGCGAATGCCATTGCTTGTGTGAGCGGCAGGCCGTGGGGCATGGGGTGTGACTGGTGGCGTTGCGAGAGTGTCAGTGTTGACTGCGGAGAGACGGCATGTATGGAGCCAATGGAGGGCGCCGTCTGCTGCTGCACGTCGAGGCCGAAGGGACTGGCACTAGGCTGGGCAAGCGTTGTGAGGGTGGCTGCGACGTGCGGGAGCGTGTCTGCGTCATCGGAAGGGTCGCTTTGTTTCAGGGAAGGAAGCTCTTGGTGGGTTGCTGTGCTCGGTACGCCGCCGAGGATGGAGAGGACGTATTGAAAGGAGCAGGTCTTTCCCTTTTTGCGGCAGTTGGAGCAGGCGACTTTGGAATTGATGGCCTCTGCGACCGAGTCATATACGGCATTGCAGGCGCGCTTGCCAGTTCTGCATCGATCGCAGGAGCGGTACTGACGGCGACGCGAGTCTTTTGCGCTTAATGAGGACATGGTGATGGCGGCGATGGCGGTAGAAGATTCAGCCTTCATGGTCGAGTCGGCTGTTGGTGATGTGATGCCGCGACGAGTCAATGATGACGGGATGGTGGTAGGATGGTGGTGAGGTGGTGGTAGGACGGAAGCTGTTGCAACAAGAAGCGGGTGAAGCTCAGATGGTTCGCGGTAGTGGCTGTACGCAGGTAAGCAAGGGATTTGAGAGAGGCTTGGCTTATGCGCGTGCAGGGTTCACGGCCGAGCGCGATCGAATGGCCGCCGAGCTGACCGATGGAGTGCGCAGGGCGAGGCGGGATGCATGAGTCGTAGTCGGAAGTGCTGGCCGAATCCAGACGAGACGCATGACAAGATGAACGAAGGGGAAAAGTGTGGGGAAGAGGCACGAGGAGCCGAAGCGTCTTGCTCGCCCCACATGTTGTGCATCGACTGCCTTTGCCAGAGACCCTGGGTGCATGAGCCTGGCGCACGAACTCGAGCACATGCTGTAGCACACCAGCACATGGCGGATGTGCGGCTTGGGTGGAATGGTGCGAGGTGGGAGGGGCGAGGCCAGAGAGTGTGGGGAAAGGCAGGGCTACGGTGGTTAAATTAGCCGAGCTGCGGAGGGGAAGCGCAAAGAAGGGCCAAACCGCCCACAAGGTTTCTCAATACTACTTAGCGCCGGTCAACCTGCCACAGCCCTCCCGCTCTCTCGCCCGTCCGCTCGAGTCTCGAAGCTTGTGGCATCGTTCCTGAGTCGGCCCTTTTGTTTCTCACTACTGTGCTAATGAATGCCAGTCGGCAACATGCAAGTTCAAAAAGTCACAAAACCCACGCTGGCTGGCTGGTCAGCCGTTGTCGCTGCCACACCTCGAATCTGCGAGCGGGACGGCCGGTGAGACCGAGCCGGCGGGGCTTCAAATCACTGCTTTTCCGAATCCACCGATTTCCCCACCGTGCCAAAACACCTGCGCTCTTTTTTGCGGCCGAGATATGGAATTTTCTCGATTTCGCTCTACAGACCGAAGACGACGTAACAAGCCTTGATTTAATTCAAACCTCGGATCCCGGGTGACGAGGCCACCTTCCAAGGGTCGCTTCGCAGACGAATTTTTTGAGAAGAGCGAACTGAGCGGAGGAGTTGCACTCACACCGCCGGCCATCACCATCCTTTCTCCATACCTTTCCGCGCGCTCATCCTTGGTCTCGCGGCTTGACTCTAGTACGGCAACCATGGCATCATCCTCCACAGCTCCGGCGCACGTCGCCCCCAAAGACCTCACCAAGCTGCTCACCACCATCCACAAATCCGTCTCCACACTCGGCGACTCCGTCCGCGCCTTCGAGAAGGATGTCTCCCAAACGGCATCCGGCGATCCCACCGAGAATCCATTCGCGTATCCCGACGGCATCTCACTCCTCACCGTCAAGAACGAAGCGATGCTAGACTACCTTCACCACATCGTCGCCCTCTCCATCGCAAAGATCTCGGGTCGCTCCCTCGCCAAGGCCTCGAGCGCATCGCAACCAGGCGCGAGTGCATCCACAGATCTCGTCCAGAACATGGTCAAGCTGCGTCTCATGCTCGAGAAGCTTCGCCCGCTCGAGAACCGTCTCAAGTATCAAATGGACAAGCTACTCCGCGCAGCCGCCGACGCCGACAAGGGGGTCATGCTCGGTCGTGCCGCGCCCGCTTCCGATGCCAACGCCAAATCCAGATCCAAGGGCCGTGCGGGCGACGACGACGACGACGATGCCAGCGGCGACGATCTCGCTTTCCGTCCCAACCCCTCCGCCTTTATGCAAGACAAGGCTCGTGCCCTGTCCAAATCCTCCAAGTCCAACGATCACCGATCCAGATCCAAGCGCGAATCAGACTCTGAATCCGACTCGGATGATCAGGGTGGCAAGGCCGCCGTGTATCGACCTCCCAAGCTGGTGCCCATGTCGTACGATCCCGACGCGCGCTCCAACAAGAAGGATCCGCGCTTCGCCGACAAGCCTTCGTCCATCACACGCAACTCGGCGCTTCTGTCCGACCTCACCGCCAGCATGTCCGCGAACCCGTACGAGGCCTCCTCCGGCGGTGTCGGCGTCGGCGGCCGCGGTCGCCTCGCCTCCAACACTTCCGCACGCGCCAAAGCCCTCGCCAGAATGGACGAGTTCGAGGAGGAAAACTTTACGCGTCTCGTCATGTCCAAGAAGGACGCACGCAAGCGCAGGCGCGACGAAGCAGACGTCGCCCTCGGAGGCGCAGGTCTCAGCTCGGGCCGCGACGGCAGAAGGCGCATCGGCGGCGGCATGGAAGAAGAGTTTGGCGACCTCCTCCGAGGCGCAGGTCTCGACGGCCGCAACGGCAAAAAGGCCAAAAAGGCCCAGCAGGCCTACGACTCTCTCCGCGCCTCGAGCAAAGCTGGCTCCACCCTCCAGCGATCCAAGTCCAGCTCCGCACCCTCGCCTGTCCCCAAGGGCGCAAAGTCCAACAAGTTCCGCAGCCAAGTCAACCGCCAAGCTCGCCGATAGTCTTCGCTTGTCTTTGCTCATCAATCCAATGCTCGTCACTGACATTGAACCAAATCCTGGCCTGTGCCGACTGCTACTGTGCCTCATCCGCGTCGTCCTGATCATCATCGTCCTGATTCGAGCTCGACTCGAAAAATCCGACCACGTACGCGTTCTCCTCGTGGACCGGCAGCGCCCCCGCCTCAGCATCCTGACCTGCAGAGGTGATGCCGTCGTCGGCGCCCCGACCGCCTCTGCCCTGATACTCGGACGGGTCCCTACCTTTTCGGCGTTTCCTTTCCGCCTTTTGCTCCTCGACTGCATTCCTGATCCACTTCACCTTGTCCTCATGGCTCTCGCCGCCAACTCGTGCAGGCAAGCGTGAGGCCAGAACGTCGTAGTATACACGCTCGGCTTGGTGCACTGCTGCATCTGTCATACCCGCAATCGATGCAGTCGGACGTGTCGTTGCTGACGCCTCAGCTTGTGGTGGCGGGAACGCAACGCGCGACAGACCAGCCTCGTCATGCTCTCCTGCATGCGATGAGACGTGCTGCCGGTACGTCAACTCGACCAATGGTTTCGCGCGAGGTTGCCAAGCGTCGTTGCTGGCGTCGTCATAGCTCGTCCATGCAACGATCTGGTCGAGCACAGGCTGCAGCACTTCCAGCACAGGCCTCTGCGCCTCGGCTTCCGACGCCTCGGTCTGCACATAGTACACGTCTGAGCAACAAGTAAGAAGGGACAACATCATCAGCCTCCGCGTCAAGCTGCGATCATACGCAAAAGATGGCCGCGCACTTACATTGGCCTTTTGGACACGAAAAGGTGCCTTCGCCCATCATCAAGACGGTCACCGTGTTTGCATTGCCGCCGATGGAACCAGGCGGAAAGACGATGAGACCGGTCTCGGGAGGCAGCTCGGGCTGTGTTTGTTCTTGTTGCTGGTCAGCGTCCTGCTGAATCGAGTCTGGCGCTTTGGTTTCGGCACTATGTGAGAAGCGGATAGGTTCCTCTAGGACCAAGACAGCGCGGTGCAGCACGTCTAGCTTGCGTGATGGGTCTGCAGCATTTGCCGCGGCCCTGCGGCTGCCGAGGCCGAGCTGTTCGAGCATGTCGTCGCTCGAAACGAGATGGTCGGAGGTGATGGTCGAATCGACGTCTCTCACCTCGATGCTCCATTTGGCTGCTTCCTTGTCGTATTTTGCAGAGCGCACCTGATGTGCGAGGATAAACATGCCTCCCTTGACTGCCGAGGCGCGGCAATAGCCCTGTGCAAGCTCTCCTGCGCCACCGTATTGGCCGACGAGATAGGCGGAGTTGCCATACCTTCCGACGCTCGACATGTGGCTTTTGGCACAAGACATGGCGGTCTCGGTGGTCTCGTGTGGAGTCGAGCATAGGCAGACACCGTAGGCCACCGCATCGATGAGATCCGACGGCATCTTGTGCACCTGTGCCAGGTAGTCGACAAACGGCCGCTTGGCTGTTTCTGAATCCTGCGCAAGCTCAGATTGCCAGTCTTCGGTGGCAATGTACATGAGCAACTTCATGAGTTTGCGCTTGGCGATCAGGGAGAGCGTCTTTGTCTTGAAAATGTCTTCCTTGCTCGCAGGAACGCTAGTCAGCGTTAGAGCTGAGCCGTCGGGACCATGTGCAGAAGGCGAAGCGACGCATGTGCGTTCGAGAAGGCGAAAGGTGGCGTAGGAAGAAACTTTGGAGCTGATCAGGCACTCGATCGAGGGACCCGTTGCGGGAAGGAGGGTCGGTGCGAGCGATATCGCATAGTGCCGGTCGAGGGACGCCAGCGACTCTGGCAGCTTGGAAGGTGTGCTGGACTGTGATGCCTCATGCTCAGTGGAAGCAGGGAATGTCAAGCTGACGTCGGTCGCGCGTCTGTTATGCTCCGGCTCCGACGTGGTCGAAGCATTGGCGGCCCATTTCAGAAGCTCAGAAAGCGTGAGACTTGCCCACTGATCGGCGTAGTAGTCGTTTTGATCGATGTGGATCACTGACAATCCTGCCGAAGACAGTGCGGCGGAGAGGATGCTCTGCGTGAGGCCGGTGCTGAAGAGGGCGACGTCGTAATGCGACTGATCCAGCGACATGGCTAGAGGCTGTTGGTGAAGGAGAGGAGGAGAAGCAGGGTCCAAGCGTGCACGCCGTCCTCTTCTCGTACCTGAGCAACCCTGGCCGAGTTCCGAGATTGCGAAAGACCAAAAAAGGCGTCCAACCTCCACCACCTGCTGAGCGTTCCTTCTTCCTGTACCTTTCTGTCCTCGTTCTCTACACAACTCTTCACACAGCGCAGGACAAGATGAGTGAAGCAGACTCGGCTTCGAGCTCCTCCGCTGCCGCATCTCATAGGGTGCGCATCGTCGGCTCGTCTGCCGCCGCAAGCAGCTCTTCGCGCAACAAGCTCCTCCTCCCGGCAGACAGTATCCGCACTCTTCGGCTGCAGACAGGTGATGCTGCGGTCATCTTGGCAGAGGACTCTGAGGATGGAGGCTTCATCGTTGGATCTGTGTGGCCATCTTTCACCCTCGAAGTTGGCACCGTCCGCTTGCCCACTGCCGCACACATTCCGGCCAGTCTGCAAGCCGGCCAACGCGCGGTTGTACTTCCTCTGCATCCTGTGCATTCCACCATGCCGCTCAAACGCCCACCCACGGCTGTCAGGCTCACCTTGACCCCAGCTTCAGCTGCCTCAGACCCTCATCATGACCCTTTGAAGCTCGGAAAGTCGGATCGCCAGATGCTCACCGTGCAAGCAAAAGAGTGCCTTGCCGATCTCGAATGCATCCATCTCGGCCAATTGTTTTCATTGGGCTTCCACGGACAAGTGTATACATTTACCATCTCGAGCGTCATGGATATCGATGGTCAACATGGATGCGAGGTGTCGCTCTCCGCGTCGTCGCCCCGCTCCACCTCTACTTCGGTGACAACACGAGTCTCTACGGTCACTCGTGCCACGGCTGTGTCCATCGTTGCAGCCCAAATGGACTCTGCCGACCCCGCCAATGTTGCGTTCATCTCCAAAGAGGATCCTTACTCCAAGCTTGGAGGCCTTGACCGCCAGATTGCCGAAATCAAGACGCTCATCGAAATGCCCCTCATGTCGCCCGAAATCTTCGTGCAGTACGGCCTCAAGCCTCCCAAGGGCGTTCTTCTTTACGGACCTCCGGGCACCGGCAAGACCTCTCTTGCGCGAGCAGTGGCGGCTGCTACAGGCTCCTCCTACCTCACCATCAACGGGCCCGAACTCTCGTCCGCCTTTCACGGAGAGACCGAATCCAAGCTCAGAGACATCTTCAAGGAGGCCAGGCGCAAGAGCCCATGCATCATCATCATCGACGAAATCGATGCCCTCGCTCCACGCAGGGAAGGCGGCTCCGGCGATGGCTCCAACGCAGACGGTGCAGGCGAAGTGGAACGCAGAGTCGTTGCACAGCTTCTCACCCTCCTCGATGGCATGGAGGACGGCAGCGGCGAAGACAGCGATGACGACCACATCGACGAAGAGCAACGAGGAAACGCAGCTTCTCCGTCTGAAAGCGGGCAAAAGATCGCATCCGGTGTCGACAAGCCACCAGCGCGCGTTGTCATCCTAGCCGCAACGAACCGACCAAACGCGATCGATCCCGCACTGCGCCGCTACGGGCGCCTGGATCGCGAGATCGAGATTGGTGTCCCCGACAAGCTTGCTCGCCAAGACATCCTCCGCACTCTGGTACAACCTGTACCCAACGATCTTACTGCCGAGCAAGTCAACGATCTGGCCGGACGAACGCACGGATTCGTGGGCGCCGACCTCTCGGCGTTGGTTCGCGAGGCAGGCATGCGCGCTGTCCGACGGACGTTCGCTCGTCAACAGTCCAAGTCGGGTCAACTCGACGTGCAGCTTCAGTCAATGTCACTCAGCCGAGCTTCACCTTCGGCTCCGGCCGTGCAGGGACATCTGGACAGAGTCACTGCAGCAGACCTGCTTGCTGCGCTCTCTGTCGTTCGACCCTCGGCCATGCGCGAGATCTTCCTCGAACCGCCAAAAGTATACTGGTCCGACATCGCCGGCTCTGCCACACCCTCCTCGGGAGGCTCTGGCGCCCTGTCCACCAAGTCGGTCCAAGCTCAAGTGCGAGAACTCGTTGAGTGGCCGATCAAACATGCTGCCAGCTTCGCACGTCTCGGTGTCTCACCGCCCAGAGGCGTCCTCTTGTACGGACCACCAGGCTGCTCCAAAACCCTGATCGCGCGCGCGCTCGCCACCGAGTCCGGTCTCAACTTCCTCGCCGTCAAGGGGCCCGAGCTCTACTCCAAGTATGTCGGAGAGTCCGAGCGCGCCATCCGCGAGACGTTCAAAAAGGCCAGAGCTGCGGCACCCAGCATTGTCTTTTTCGACGAGATCGACGCGCTCTCCGCCAGCCGCGACGGCGAGCAGTCGGGCGGTGACGCTTTGAATAGCCGCATCATCGCCACCCTGCTCAACGAGATGGACGGCATCGAAGCCATGTCGGACGTCATCGTCGTCGGGGCTACCAATCGTCCCCAGTCGCTCGACCCAGCACTGCTGCGTCCGGGAAGGCTCGACAGGCTCGTCTACGTAGGACCGCCCGATCACAATGCTAGGATGCAGATCCTACGCACGAGGATGGCGAAAATGGCTGTGGCCGAGGATGCCGTGGACCTCGACAAACTCGCCCACATGACCGAGGGCTGCTCCGGCGCCGAGGTCGTGTCAGTTTGCCAAGAAGCAGGCCTGCTCGCGATGGACGAAGACATCAATTGCGACAAGGTAAGTCCAGCCCATCCCTTTCGATCGTGCCTGCACTGATTCTTACTGACTCCATCATGCGGTATGTTTTCTCTTGCACCTTGCTGCTACAGATCAAGCAGCAGCACTTCGAGAGCGCAGCTTCCTCGGTGAAGCGGCGCATCACATCGCTCATGATCCGACAATACGAGACGTGGAGGGACACGCTCGTCGTCTAGGATTAGGGCGCCGCAAAAGACTCTGGTGGTAACTTTATTGCATCGTCAGGGCAGGGCAGTAATCACATCGAACCCGAACGAACGACGCAGAGGGTGTAGGTGAAGCGCAAGTACCATTACGAGGGAGATAAAGAATGTTGTATGTGAACGCGAGATCGAAGGAAGCCTAGTCATCTCCGTATGTTGCGATCTTCTTGTAGACCAGCACGGAGCAATAAGATTCTTCAATCTTGCTCGCGACGAGTTGGCTGAAGATGGCAATGTAGAAGAGGACAAACGAGGACGCAAACAGCCACCAGGCTGCCCTCGCCACCGCACCGGTGATCTCGGCGCGGCTGTACTGCTTGGTCCATCTGGGAAGGGGCCCTTTCTTCTCGGACAGCAGCTGCTGCTTTTCGGGATCCTGCTTCTTCGGCTTGGGCGGAGGGAAGAGCTGGCCCGGAAGATGGACGATCAGCACATAGATGAGAGCGGTCGAAACGAGCCCGACGAGCATCTGCATGAAGATGAGCCAGGAGGACCTGCCGAGCGGGCAAATGACGATAGCGGCACCGGCATTGTAGAATGCGATGATGAAGGCCTTGGATGCAAGGATGACCCAGAGCATCGAGGCGTTGAGCAAAAGCTGGTGCGGGTCACGCAGCTTCAGCAGATGTCCGACGTGATCCGACCACACCTGAGCGGGGATCTTGGCAGGGAGAACGAACATGCGCAGCATCGTGACGACCAGGAAGAACAGGCCGACCCCCAACGAGATGGCGATCTGTACGCCGATCGGAAGCTTGTCGAAGCGCGCGTCCAGGAAGGTACCCCATGCCCAGCCCCACAGCCCGCCGATCACCCAGCCACAGAGGACGTCGAGGGGCCAGTGAAGCGCCAGGTAGAGACGCGACATACCACTGGCCAGCGTGAGGAAGGTAAGGACGACGTGCGCCACGGTTGGGAAGTCGAACTGCACGTCCGGATGGTTGCGACTGAAGTAGTAGGACGAGTACACGCAAGCCATGAAGGCCGAGTGGCCGGAGGGGAACGAGTAGTCGTACTGTCGGAGCGGCTTCTTGAGCTTGTAAGGATTGAGCTTCAGGCGATCGGCTGCGACCCAAGCCGGACGAGGCACAGGCCGAAGAACCTTGATGAAGTTGACGATGCCGAAGACAACGACACACGCGCGCATGATGATCGTCAGCGTCAGCTGATTCCAACGCGACCAGTAGACGCAAGCACCCAAAAGGATGATGATGGACTCTTGGAAAGAGTAATGTAGAACGAGAGAGGGCACCAAGATTCCTGGAATGCTCTGGATCAGGTTGATGACCTTGACCTCGAATGAGCGGTAGGTGGGGTGAAGCCTTGCAGAGAGGAGATGCCTCCAAGAAACCTTGTCGCGATAGTCGATATTGTGTCGCTGGCATTGCCTGAGGGAGCATTCCACGATGGCGTCTTCGCATGTCTGTTTGATCTCTTCTGCCGATCGGTTGTGAAGCTGCACGGGCTCGAGCAGAGCATAGGTGACCTTTGCGTACGGCATCATCATGAGCAGGAGGAAGTCGAAAAGGAAGCTCGAGTCGGCCTTGCGGAGATGGATCGGGTAGGGCATGTCGTAGCTGATCACTACGGGCACAAGTTCGATCGCATCGGGATGGGCGGCAGCGAACTCGAAGGTCGGCGTGCCGAACTTGACGAAGTTGTTGCGGGCGACCGTCACGGCTTGGGGGAAGATGACGAGGTTCTTGGCGAACTTTGGGTTCTCAGACCACTCTTCCAGCATCTGGACGAGGCGGATGCCGCGCTTCTTGACGTAAGCAATTGGCCCGGTGAGGTATCCAGTGATGCCCTTGGCGGCGACTTCGGCGACGACGATGGCAGAGTTGGTCAGAGGGGCCAAGCAGCCATCGAGGAAGATGTAAGGATGCTCTGCACAGTAGATTTTGCGCCTGGATGTCCTGTCGGTCTCGCTGAAGTTCGCAGCTGTGAACGTCTCGGCTGGAATGGGCTTGCCTTGATGGTCTACCACTTCAAACTTGACGAGAGGGAAGATGGCGTTGGGATGGAAGCCTTTGGGACCGACCACGTAGAGGACGATCGAGAAACGGAAGAATAGGTATACCAGCTGACAGATAGCCAGCAGTACTCCGAAGGGTATGTACAAGATCCAGAGGAATGACCACCAGGTAAGAGACTTGGGATTCAGGCGTCTGGAAGGCCAGGATGCCTCGCAAGCGGCGGTGTCCAGATCGGTCTCGATCGCCATCTTGCTTCGAGGTTGAGTGGATAGTCTGTTGTGGTGGAGGAGGGTGAGGAGGAAGTGGTGGTCGGATCCGTACCTCGATGATGAAGGGGAGGGTGAGTGGGGGGAGGAGCGAGGTGAGGAGCGTAGCAGAGATACGAAGCTTGGGAAGGGGAGAAGGGAAGGGGGTCTGGCGAGCTCTCGACCAGGGTTGCGATGACTTGTGAAGAAGGATTGGGTGCCGTGTGAAATGATTGCGAGGAGACGGGTAGGCAGAAGTGCGCGACTTGGTATTGCGAGGACTAGGAATCTCAGGCTTATGGACGAGCGAGCGCCCGAGGCTTTCGGCGACTTCAATGACAGGCAGGGGAGTCGGTTGCAGGCTATGGCCCTGTGGGCCTGAATTGATGCAGCCCAACGGTGGTGCGGCAGAATAGTCGAGCAAGCTCTCATCTCGAGTTCCACACGAGAATCCATAAGATCAGCGGTCGAAAGATCAGCAAGGACCTAGAAACCAACTCGCGAGATGATTTGGCGCAAGCTCGCCTGAGGCCGCGGATGAAGTTGGCTTGTGCTGAGATCACAGAAGTTTCTTGGCGCCATCAGGCGAGCCCAGCTCAAAGGTCTGGACAGCTGCCAGACGGCAATGGATGCAGCGACGCGCCGCTGAACTTTCTGCTGCATCGCAATGGACCCTTGAGCGGCAGGAGCTACCGCTCCACGGAGATGCGAAGGTCAGCGTGTATGACGGTGGGAATGCAGAAGCGGGCCGGGGTGGCAGGTGATGTGCAGGGCGCCCCGACTGACGATCCATGTTTCATGCTGGACGCCGTTGCAGGCGAGCTTTGCAGAAGACCCGAAGTCGAGACGACAGCCTGGGTGTCGAGGCGGTCGGAGGCCGATTTTCTGAGACACCCAAAATTTTGCAAAAGTCGGAACCAGGTATTTTAACCGAGCTGCAGCGTCGGTAACACAAGAACCCTAGAACGCCGCCTTGGCCGACAGCCGACTGGTCAAAGCGAATCAGTTGGGTCAGTTGGGTCAGTTGGGCGGACGGCCAGGATCGCCCAGCTCTCGCCTGTCCTCTCTGCGGAGTCAGAGGCGTCAAGCGTGGCGCCGGCGCCCGCCATGCACAGTTTGGCGCAACTTTGGCCGCATGGACTTTCCAGGCTCTCCATGTGTCCAAGCCTGACTCTGCATGAGAAGTCTGTGCACTTGGTCCTCGTACGAACAGGCAAGCGCCGAAGCAGACACGGAGCTGCTCGGCCAATATACAGGGCGACGAGGCTGCCTTCCGCTCTGCCTGCAAAAGCCAGAGACGCAGACCGTCGCAAATTTCGTCCGCCCCTGCCGACAATAGACCCGTTGCAGTTGACATCTTCAGATGCCAAAGCGTCGGAACATTGCTACCGTAGTCAACCTCCATCCTCCCACCATCATCATCAAGCAGCTCAAGACCATGGGGACCCGCAGCATTGCATGGTTTGCCTTCCTTTTCCTGGCTGCAACGTCGAGCCAGGCTCAGGAGTCCAACTCTCAAAGCTCACGAGCATCGGCGACGAGTGTCGTCCCGACAACGCCAACAGCGACGGCTCCCGCAACATCCTCTGCGACACCAACAACGCCAGCCTACCTGGCATCATGTCCGAGCGAGCTGGAACTTCAGATCTCGATCTGCCTTGACACCGTGGCTCGTGACGGCGCCGTGCTGCCATGCAATCCGGACGATTGGTGGTGCAACTGCAACAACTGGCAAGGCATCATCTCCTGCTACCAGCCTTGCCCCGATCTTCAAGAGCAAGCTGATATCGATTGGAACCAGAACAACTGCCAGGGCCAGCACGGATTCGCCAACCTGCTCGGAGGCAACTCCACCGGCTCCTATCTCGGTTCGAACATCACTACCACCGGATCCAACGGACACACAAGAAGCTACTACAGCGAGTGAGTGGGATTCTTGATTCTCAACATTGCCGTAGACAGAAGTTCTGACCGTGAGAGATCCTATGTACGTTCTGACAGGATGCCACAAGCCACCTCGACCATCCCCACGAGCACCTGGTCCTGGCAGCCCACTGCGAGTCCTTCCGGCCAGGCTCGCGCCAAATCGGCAGCTTCGCACCAGTCCGCCGTCAAGGCGAGCCTGCTTGCCATCCCGCTCGTCCTCGCGACAGCCTCTAGTCTTGTGTACCTGTGAATCGTGCATCCTCACTGCAGAATTCTGTTGGTCTTGAAAGTATGAAAGTCTTGCTCGAGCGTTAGGTGCTACAAGCTCTTGCCTTGTCTGTTCGTCCAAGAGCTCAGGAGGCGAAGAAATGCAAAGACAGCCGCCGAATCTTTGCAGAGCAACATAGGGCGCATGAGCTTGAGGACTTCTTAATCAACATCATGTCAGAGCCTCTCCGTCTCACATGAAGCTGCGACGCCTGGACGATCCGGATATGTTAACAGCATCGTTTGTCGCCAGGGTGCCGCGGCTCCCACGGCATGTTCCTGTGTTTGTACTCCAGAGTATTCGTGTTTCGCCTATGGAGTGCGCGGTCGACAAACGATGATTCAAGAGGCCCTCCCATCATTTCTGAGACCGGCTCCGAAGCCAATGGATCATAACAGATTCGCTTGATGCGGCGATGGGGACGATTGCAGACGAAGCACCGGTGACTCTCCCATGTCTTGGACGGAAAGCGTTCACTGCACCCAGCCTGCGAGGGACTGGGTGTGCGGAGCGGCAGACCACGTCGGATCCTGAGACCTGGTGTGGTGCTCATCAGCATCGCTGCTGTCGACAGCTGCGACGTCCGCTGCGGTGTGTGGTAAGGCCACGACTATCAAAGGAACGGCGAGGCTACAGTGTGGATCAGTGGCATTGCAGGCGAAAGAACGATCGACTCGACCAGTGCAACCGAGACATCCGAGGTATCGCCGGTCTCCTGCGGAAGCCATTCACGACATCGCAATCAAATCAGTTTGTGACTGCCACAGACTTGGTCGGAAGATCGTCTGAAGCCCTGCGCGGCACCGTTTTGGTGTCTGACGGCTTAAGTCTGCCCGAAGGAGAAAGCAGAACGATTGCCGAGACCCTCTTGTTTCTTATCGGCAAGTCAAAAGCCAGATCGCCGCTGCAAAAGAGTTCCCAGGGACGCAGTCCCGCCCACTCTGGTCGGTGGTGCGCCGCACCCTGGCCTTGCAGAGGATTCCGGTCCGATGGCTCCAGTTGCGGCTCCGGCCGCGACATCGGGGTCGGGCTCGGCTGTGCAAATCAAGTTGCGCTCGGGCTGGACCCTCGGCGGGCTTTGCGATCTGCAGTTGGCGCCGCTCAAAGTGAAACGCTGCGACCTGTAAATTACAGGTGGTCCAGAGGGCCGGACAGCGATGATCTTGTGCAGGCCCCCGGCGATGGCGTCCTTTGGAGCAGCACCCTGGAAAACCAAATCATTCGGAACTTTGGAAGATCGGGGGTAAATTTTTAGGTTGGGGATGCTGTGAAAGACGACAGGCCAACGCCAACAATGAGGTCCGGGCTCCGGCGAGGAGGTTGGGGCGCAAGAGGAGCCCAAGAACGAATGTCTCACTTTTCTCGCATCACCCGTGGCAGACGGACGGCTGTCGGCACGCCAATCTGCTGGCCAGAAGCGCTTTCGCGTGGCGTGTTTGTCTGTTCGCTCAAACTCACTCTCAAACCGCCAAACAGAACCGTTCCTCACTGAGCGTGTGGCATGGCGCGCAAGCACTATTGGCAGCCCTTCCGCTCAAAGCCGCTAGTGACAGCGCCCTAGTTAAGCGAGATTACGCGAGACAACCAACATCGGTCCATCCTGGTCACGCAAACGCCTTCAGCTTCCGGACCTCATCCGTCCATGGCGGCGGCCGGTCAGACCCAGAGAACCAGGTGCGATTGCCGAGACTGCATCGCTCAAGGGAAAATTCCTTTCGAGGTGCAGCGATAGAACAGATACTGTAAGTAACTAATGCCTGCACGTTCTCGACAGCACGTGCAGACGATGGCCAAGGTCAACCCAATACAGCCTTGACCGTTCTTCCTTCCTGCCAGCGTTGCATGATGGTAGACCGAATCTCAGTATCCTGAACACCTGCACGGGCCGATCTCAGCTGAGCGCGAGGCAGTTGCAAATGTTCATACCACTTATCGATCAGGCGAAAGCATGCTGACCTGAGCTGCGCGGAGCGGTTCGACCTGTATCCGTTTCGGGCCCAGATGATCTTGCCGCCTTGTCATGGCAGAGCCGTCGAGCATCTGGCTGCTGACGCTGACGCTGACGCTGACGCTATTGCTGGCTGTGGGAAGCTTTGACTTGGCCGACTGCTTAGTGAGGATCTGAGTTGAGGTCTGTATCGGGAGCCGATCGGATTCGTCATCGGTCGCGACATCCGGTCATCCCGTCCAAGTTGGGCGAAAATTCGGCAACTGTGCAGCGGAAAGACTGAGTGCGCAGAACCCCCCGCTCGTGGGCGTGGGAGGAACGCAAGACATGACGACGCAACAAAAGACATGGATGTCCGATGCTGGCCGGAGCTCGCCAGATTACGCCCTCGTCCACTTTGTTCCTCTCATGCCAAAGCAACGAGCTGGTCCGGTCATTCATTGCCCAGAATGTCGCGCGAGCATGCAACGGTGCAACGCGCTGAGACCGAGGAAGAAGACCCGGCCGAACGCATAAATTTGCCGGAAGGCGAATGTTATGCCGCTGCGTCCGAGGCGCGCCCGCACCTGCGCCAATGTGCATCTTCGGCGCGGACATGACGGTGGAGGCGGCAGCAGCAGCAAGCAGCGGGCAGCCCCGATTCAAGCTCCAACAGGATTTTCTGAATCAGGTACTTGCGCCCGAAGGCGGTTAGACGCGGCGGCCTTCTTCCGCGCATCCGCGCGCGTGCGCCCAGCGCCGTCTCCCGGCTGCCAAGGAAATTCGCTCGCGTTCGCCTCATCCGAGCCTCCCAAAATTACGCGCCGGCAGGAATGCCGATCGCAATTTTCCGCAGGGTCGACCAGGGCGTCTCAGGACCCTGGCATCCCCACGCAGCTCCATCCACTCGAGCGCGTCATGTTCCTGAATCAGAACAGGCTCCGAACATGCTGTACGCTCGGGCTTGGATGCAGCCACCTCTTCATGGGAGATTCGGGCGCCAAGGTCGACACCGATGAAAACACCCATGCAGCAGGGCGCCAGTGAAGACATCGCCGCAGAGAGCGCGCACACTCGCGCGTGAGTTGGCTTCGACCGATGGGAACGACCGAGCGTACATTCGCACAAGTTCGAGCGCCTATCTCCAATGCCTTGTCAGTATCGATCCTGATGCAGGATGCTCGCTTTAGGCGGCAAGCTTGCCGCCACAGCCATCTTGGAGCAAACGATCGCGAGCTTTTCGGTTGAATCGCTCCGGAACAGGTCCGGAGTGGCCGACGAGTCCCTCGTTAGTGTGGGCAGCAGCCGATGTAGCTCTAGTCCTTCGCTTGTTCTAGACTGGAAAGTGCAGCGATGGGCGCCGTCGACCCTGCAGAATCCTGCCTGGGTCGAGGCGGGTCGAGCCGCTGCAAATTCCGTGTCTCACAAACACGGATCTGCAGCACGACCCAGGATCGGCGTTCTCGACAATAAGTCTATTTTCTGGACTGACAGCTTGATTCCACCCGGGAAAAAAATTCGATCAGAGTTGGGTCGTGGCGAACACGGCGAACACGGCGGCCTCGGCGCCCGAGGTCTCAGATCGACTATCAGCTGCCCGAGCCGTGGTCGGCCACCATCTGCTTGCTCCAAGACATCCAGGCACTTGAAACCGGATCGCAGAATTGGAGTTCGGAACAAACAACCTGCCTGAGCGCCCAAGACCCCTTCTTCGTGTTGAACGCGTTCTTGCATTCTCAAGCCCCGTTCGACTCGAAACGCGCTCAATCAAATCGGACCGAGCAGCGCGAATCGTCTTGACCTCCAATTTCAAGGCAGCCTTCTCTTCATCCTCAATCTAAAGGACCTCACATAGTGTCGCAAAGTAGAGACCCCCTTCGACGGCGGAAGAGTTGGACCCCTCGCACCCGACTCGATCCTAAGCACTTCGCTCCCGCTCCCGCTCTCATCTCACCACTCATCGTCTATCGTCGAAGCTACTTCCACGATCCTAGCTTTCCAAACGCAGTCGTCACTCGAACCTTCTCACCTGGACATCTTTGCAACTTGGACATCGTTGCCGGAATGATGGGCCAACGTCTCATCAAGACTTTGAGCGTGACAATTGTCTTGCTCTTCGGCGCCAGCTCTGCAACAAGGCTGCCATCATCGGTGGGCGAGCAATACGCTCTCTTGGAAAAGCGCAAAGTTCAGGAGAGCCTTTCGTCATCACCGTTGGTGAAGCCCAGCTGGATGCACATGGAGAAGCGCGCTGACATCTCGGCTGCGCTCTCCGTGCTCAACTCGATCGTTCCCGGACTCAACATTTCGTCGTCCACGGGCGAACAAACGAACTCATCTGCGAGCCCAGCAAACTACTCGCTTGCAGGGATCCCCCTCAACAATACTGCCAGTCTCAACCAGACCGAGATCGATCGTGCTCGCAACTGTCCTGGTATCGAGTTCATCACTACCCGCGGTGCCAACGACTCGTTCACCGACGGCTATTGGCTCAAAGAAATGGCTCGTCAGGTCATGTCGCGCTTGCCTCAAGAGACCTCGAGACGAACGGAGACCAGATACGACTCAAACATCGGCAACGACTTGCAATCCCAGGTCAAAGCAGCCCTTGATGGCAGCTGGTGGGTTGCCAACTACACCACTTTGCTCGCGCAGAGCTGCCCCAACACCACCATCATCATGATGGCTTACTCTCTCGGCGCTGCAGCCAACACCGTGGCCAGCACGCGCCCCCGCTTTCCACTCAGCCGTATCAAGGCCGCTGTCTATTGGGGCTCGCCTCTCCGATCTCCCGGCCGACCCCAAAATCGTGGTACGGCCAAGTCTGCGCTGGGTCAGGTCGCTCTTCTCGGCTACCGTACGCCCCGCGGCCTTGAGCCCGTCGTTCGAGACTACTGTGTCATCGGAGACGTCATCTGCACCTCTTGGGGCACCCTTGGTCCTCATTTGTCGTATGCCAACTCGAGTTACCAAGACGAGACGGTCGACTACCTCGTGCAGGCTGCCCTTCCCTAGTCGTCACCGAGAACCACCATTCCGCTTTTCACTCTTGTATCTTCTTCCGAATTCACCGTCTTGACTTTTGAATTGCCGCTCCCACCGTCTTACTTCTTTCCAGTTCGCAGGGTTCTCGCTTAAGCTACTAGACTCGCATGCAATCCTTCGGTGTGGTCGTATCGAGCCCGAACTTTAGACAACGAGGCTAGTCTTCGTGAATCATCACCAAGACTATATAATTTTGTATAGTTCGAGCTCGAATATGAAGTCCCAGTTAGTACAATGGTTAGTATAGGGCACTCTCACTGCTCAGATCAGGGTTCGATTCCCTGGCCGGGAACTCTTTTTCTTTTCTTTGTTTTTTTCAGTTTTTTTTTTTGGCCCCGTCAAGACCAAGTCATGCGAATGCAAAAGAAACCTGAATCAGACAGCGCACAAAGGATGTGGACGGAGGGTAGTTGCGCGTTGCACACGGGGCAGCACTTCAGCACATGATCGCTATACAACGCTAGATTCAATGAAGAACGACGTGGCGCTATCCCACCATGCGTATCGTGGGCTAGAAGATCAAGATGGGCTCGGACCAGGGGCAACCTTCGTACTCCCTGGTTTCGCCACCGCTGTCAAGCGTGCTGACCTCTGGGCAAGGCACACTGGAGCTGATCACCACGTCCATCCTGTCTGTGTTAAATGCCTCTGTCTGACTGTGGAACATCACGACGAACACTGAATTTCGCTCGCTTCTAGTCAGTACATACGTATTGTCATCGAGCGCTCGTGTCAAGATATTGGACTTACTGCTTCCGGCTGCGTTGACGTATCCATGCACTGAGGGATCGGTCGAAGCCATGTGGTCTCGGATGTTGCCGCTGTATCGGAAGCATACAAAGTTCTCTTCCTGCGGAGCAGTGTTGATGTTGCAGTACTGATTAACCGTGTTGTCATCCGTCGCAAACCCGGCCATGGGATCGTCAGCTAAGGCGCTGGCAAAGAGGGAGGCGAGACCCAGGGCGCAGAGAGACTTGGAGATCATAACGAAAGAGGAGCGTGCGAATGAGCAGCTGGGCAGAACGCTCAGACGGACGGACATTCATGTCGATACCAGTGACTTGCGAACGCGGTGGGCGAGACTCTCCAAGCACCCGCCACTGCGAAAGCCCACATTGAGTGACGCTTTGCTGGTGGGACATGGCGGCTTTGCCACTTTGTCTGGCAACATGAAGTCTCAGCACAGCTCTGCAAGCTGTGAATCCTGGCCCACAGCGGGACACCGCCCACAAGATCTTTCGAAGCGCGAACATGCATCGAGAGCAGATAATGGAGGCGTCGCCCCACCGACCCACCAGCCGGAACCGACCCACCGAGGCTACACACCCGAGCCACCAACGACTCCATACGCGGATGTTGCACAGTGATCCCGTGGTGGGATTTCAAATAAGAAGGCGGTGTCCGACTGTGACTCATTTCGCCCCAGCACGGTCGTACCGGATGGCAGCTCGACTCGCGAATGTTTGAAGCAGGTGACATTGACAAGGAGCGTGTAGAGAACCAACAAGAGTATTAAGGGAGCTATCTAGAAGTTGAAGCGCATGAAGACAGGGCTCAGCAGAATCGGATACATGAAGTGTCCGAAGATGGTGATCGAACCCGGCCAGAAAAGGTTGAATCCGTAGATGCAAAACTCTTGGCTCAGGAGGTTGGTGCCGAAGAGGAGCATGAGAGTGATGAAGCTCGTCATGACCAGGTAGCAGTGCCAGTATCGAGAGAGGATGTCCTTGATTTCGTCCACCAAGCTGGTCTCTTGCACGTCCTTCTGGGTGGCCGCCCACGTCATGTTGTACTCGATCGGGTGAGCCAGGATGGCAAGGAGGATGTGGTAGGGAAGGCCAGAAAAGAAGACGATCATGGGCCAAAAGTAGACGAACTGCCTCTTGAGCGCATGCAGGAAGCCCTTCTGCCTGCTCCTCAGGAAGCACAGCAGTCTGGCTACGGTGCCGCCGGCTGAGAAGACGACGAGGATCGAGAGCCAGACCTTGAAGGAGTCAACAATGTAAAGGCTGGTGACGTTGTCCATGAGACCGACGACCAGGAACATGGCGATGGCAAACGGCAAGCTCATGGCGAGCGCATAGTAGCTGAACATGTACGAGGACACTGTGATCTTCTGCGAAAGACTGCACTTGTCGCTCGTGATGAAGCGCTTGAAAAGTGGCGTGAGAGGGCCCTTGGTCACCCAGTATCGTAGAGGCTGCAGGATGATCTCCGAGCATCCGAAAGCGTACTTCTGCCATCTATTCAGCTCGTCGGACGGTGTCAGCGACACGCCTTCGAGATAGCCGAGGTTCGAGTAGGTGGCCCAGCGCACAACGTAGCCCTGGAGCTGGAGGCGGAGCGACATGTCAAAGTCCTCGGAGACCGAGTTCTCGGACCATGTGATCAGCTGGCCAGTCTTCGGATCGCGTTCCGAGACCTGGAGTAGTGCCGAGGTTCGCAAGTATGCATTATGGCCCACAAAGGGAGCGGTAGCTCCGCAGGCGACCAGCCATGAGATAGACCAGTTGACAATGTCGGTGAAGAATCCCATCATGTTCTCGAAGAAGTGGTCCGCGACGTACATGACGCCCGAGCAGTGCTGAAGAATGGCCACTTCCGGGCTAGTCTCCATCTCGCTCGCGGCGTCAAGGAAGGCATCGGTGGGAATTCGGGTGTCGCAGTCGATCAGGAAGATGTAGTCTCCAAGACGGACGTCACCTTCTGCCCAAGCGATTCCGTCTCGTGCCTGCAGTGCCATTTCCAGCGCTTCGTCGTAGCTCTTTGCGCGGCCTCCGTCGAGGAGCTGCTGGACGTCGAAGCTGAAGTCGAGGACAAAGTTGAGGTTGGAAGCCTTCTTGAAGCGACCGGCACGCACGAAGCCATTGCGACCATGTCCGGGTCGCGATACCCAGCCGCAACCCTGAGTCTGGTAGAAGTCCCGGCGTTTCTGCTGCTCCTCTTCGTCGAGGAGCTGCATACCGTCTTCGCAAACGAGGATGTTGGCCTTGCCGCCCTGCAGCTCGTAAGTCTTCATAGCCTTCTTCATGTCGAGGATCGTAGGAGCGATGACACCCTCGAGGGATTCCTTGTAGACGGGCACTTGAATCGTAATCGAGGGCAGAGCCACATCGATGGGCAGGGGAATGGGCTTTTCGCCCGAGTAGTAGAGGGAGTTCTTCTTCATGTTGCCGTATGGAAGCAGAATCTGGGCGATGCATCCGAAGATGTTGTCGGTGAAGAACTGGGTCAACATCATGGTGAAAGGGATTGCCAGGATAGCAAGGAGATAGAGGTAGTTGTTGAGGGTGACGGCGGTCACGAGGATACGGCGCAGAAAGATGCCGCTAAAGAGAAGATTCAATCCGAGGCTCAGTCCCGTCAGGAACGGCGCAAGCGAGTAGACCGGACGCTTTGTGGCGGCCAGCTCGGGTACCATGCCTGCTTCGAGGGATGAATCCATGTCGGCGCCATCCTTCTCGCTGAAGGCGCCTTTCTTCTCGTACGAGCTGCTCGAAAGCGAAGGAGAGGGCCTGTGACGCGGTGGGAGACCTGCGAGCTTCCCGTGACCGAGATCAGAGTGCGAGGACAGCGAGGGAAGTCGTGTCTGCGAAGATGCAGCCGAGCTCGCTGTGCTGCCGTTTCGCGAATGCCCGACGCCTCGGTAGATCGAGGCATTGTTTGAGCTGTGTTGCAGGAGGTTCGAGACGTAGCTTCCTCGCCTGAGCGACTCGAAGTAGTCGAGCACGTGGTTCTGGAAGCTGACGGCAGCATCCAAGAGGTCTTTTCCATCTTCGGTCCACACGACCATGATGGCCTCTGCCTGGATGAAGGCTGCGCCTTGGCCCTTCCGGCACGACCAGAGATGGTCCAGGCTCTTGACGACCTGGACTCTCTGTTGTGGGGTGAGGATGAGCTCGGTCTGGTTTGGCTGAAGAGTGGAAAGGGCAGAATCGATGATCTCGGAAGAGATGATGATGGCTGCTTCGCAGCGAAGCTTCTTGATACTCTGCATCGCCACGCCACGGTAAGCATCCATGGGATATGCTGCGTACATGTTGTCATGCGCACGGAGGAAGATGCCGTCATTGTCGTGGCCGTCTCGCACCAAGTTGACACGGCGGGCTTTGAGGAACATGGACTCGGCGATTTGCTGAGCGAGGTGGAACTGCAGAGTGCCTTGTCCCGTTGCTGCCGAATGATCATGCGATTGCTCGCTGGTGTAGGACGCGGAGAGCGCTGCCGATGGAGATGGCGTATCAGTCAACCTCGCCCCTGCCGCAAACGTCGACGACGAGATTGCGTGAAAGGCCTGGGTCGCCTGGGTCATGAGACCACTGCGAGAAAAGTTGGAAGCCATCTTGAGCCTTGCTTGAGATTCAGTCCTCGAATCGAGCCTTTCGAGGGGTGTCGATGAAGGACGAAGAGGAACCGATGTTCTTGAGGACGGATGAATGGAGGGGGACGAAGAGAGATGCGAAGAAAGCGGAACACGAGTTAGGCTCGAAATGCTTGAGAGGATGAAACGAAGGACCAAGGGTTGGTGTTCTAAGGCCCTGAACGAATGGGCCCCTCCTCTGTTCTGAAAGGGCAGTGGAAGAAAACGCGGTGGCCGAAAGGTACAGGGGGGCTTGTATGGCGAGATCACGCCGAAGCCAAGTCCAGGCCGGACGCCTCTGGGAGAACGGGATCCTGGCAGAGAAGCGCAAGAGCTCAGTTTACGCCAGGTCAGCTGAACATGAGAACGCTATCTCCAAGTGGAGAAGTCGTCGAGCCGTTGGCCTTCACCTTGTCCCTACCTGCAGGTCGAACCCCGACACACGCCCGCCAAACATGTTCAAATTCCCGTATCGATGGAGCTCGCAGCCGATCTTTGTGACGCAGCACTAGCCGTCAGCTGCATGAAAGCGGCGCCGAGAGCGATCCACGCCGTTGGATGGCAAGCGTGAGCCGGCCGGTGATGGTGCGCGAGTCAAACTGGATGGCGTCTAAACCAGATTTGTTTGATCCAGGACTGCGAGCCAGGGTTTGCGGCGAGACATGGACTTGCACCCGAAATTTTGATGCTCCGATTTTCGAATGAGACTTGGGTGGCTGAAAAGAAATTCCGGACCCCGGCTTCACCGATGCAGCCCACGCAGCGCCTGAGCGCCTGAGCGCCAACGGCGATTCGGCACGGAAGCGCTCGGGTGCATGGCCACCCTGAGCTCCCGACGGCGTGGAAGCGCAGCTTTGTACAACGAGCTGGCACCACACGTCGCAAGGATGCCCTCGCTGCACCATGCACGGGGTCGGCGCGGTGCAAGAGCATCAAACGGCCCAGCTCTCCACCGTGAAACATCTTGCTGAAACCGCAACGTCGATCCGATTAGGAGTGTTTGCTGCGCCGGCGACACCACTTCGGATTTGCGCATCGTGCACGGTCTGCGCTGCGCTACTCTTCGTGACGGGATTGATTCTCGGCCTTCCAAAGTTCGCCCTGGCTCGCATTTGGCTGGGCTCGCAGATACAGATCATCTCGCAATCTTTCTCGGTCGAACCTTTTTGGTTGGTTGGCTGCTTCGGCCTGTGCGAGCCTTTTCTTCGCCTGCAGCGGTCTCTTTTCTCCCGCCATCGTTCTGCCTCCACCCTCTTTCGCATCTCTTCCGCACATTCCAAGGTACCGCGGCGGTTGTCGTCTTCTCCCTCCCTTCCTTCAGCTCGAATATCCTCCTGTCCCACCCGCATCTGCTCTCTCCTTCTTCTTCAATACTCCCATCCTCAACTCGTTACAAAGCCAAACAAGAAGCTCCGCAAGCAGCTCGTAACCACGACCTCGGGTCTGCTCTTCCACACAAGCATCAGCCATGGAGAAGTTGGGTCCCAACTCGGAGGCCGCGAGAGAGCGTCTCGCGTGGCTCAATAGCAAAGAAGCAAAGCAGATCCAGTCCAAAAACAAGCGGGTAGTCCTGATCGGTGTTTTATTGGGCATCGCCGCCATGATTGCCGTCGTGCTCGACGGTGTTCTGCGCGTCGAGAAGCAAGATAAACTTTGTCTCGTCCTCGATGACGACTTTTCCAACGGCTTCAACAAGTCGACCTGGAGCCACGAGATTCAGCTTGGAGGCTATGGTACCGGATCGTTTGACTGGACCACAGACTCCGAGGCCAACACGTACGTCGAGGACGGCAAGCTCTACCTGGTGCCAACCCTTACGGTGCAGAACCTGTGGGCGCCGTATTTCAACCTCGACGGATTCAAACTCGATCTCACCGCCGCTGGCAACTGCACGAGCGAGAAAGACACCGATTGCCAAGCTGGAAACAACTTTGACGAAGGTCGCATGGTCAACCCAGTGCAAAGCACGCGCATCACCACCAAAAAGTCTTTCTCCATTCGCTATGGCAAGGTCGAGGTGAGGGCGAAGCTGCCCACTGGAAATTGGCTGTGGCCAGCAATCTGGATGATGCCACGAGACTCGGCGTACGGCGAATGGCCCGCAAGCGGGGAGATCGACCTCATGGAATCCTCGGGCAACATGCCGCGCCATCGAATGGATCAGCGTGCTACCGGCTCCGTCCAATCGTCCTACCACTTCGGCCCGGACTGGAGGAGCAACGCCGGCGGCCACCACACAGGCTACCAGTTCCGATGGCGCAACTATTTCAACCAGGGCTACCACAACTACGTCCTGGAATGGAACGAGAAGCGCATGCGCGTCTACGTCGATGACCCGCGCACCACCATCTCGTACTTTGAATTCCCCAAAGAGCCCATGTGGGAGTACGGCAAGTTTGGAGATATTCAGCTCGACCCTCCGATCCACAATCCGTGGATTCGCAGCGAAAATCCCAACATCGCGCCTTTTGATCAGCACTTCTACCTCATCCTCAACGTCGCCGTCGGTGGCAAGTACTTTGAGGGCACGGACGACGTCGTCTGGAACTCGGAGTCGGCCTTCCCGGCAACAACCTTCTGGCAGAACGTTAAAAAGTGGTATCCAAGCTGGGCGACCGATCCCAGGGAGCGAGGTATGGCCGTCGATCGGGTCCGCATGTGGCAGAAGTGCTAGACCGATCGACGTCCCTCTCTGCGCTCTTGGTCTTTCATGCCTCATCGGGCGCTGTGTGTTTCCTAGTTGTCACCGTCTTCCTTGCAAGTAGAACGCTTCTCTCATTGTTTGTCTTGACCTCTTTTTCGGTCTATCTTGATGGACCTCGATTTGCGGAACAAATTTCCTGCTTGGCTAGAGCATGAACCTGCAGTTCGATGCTTTCAGAACTGCTTTCTGGATCGGAAGTGCGGATTCAGCCCCGTATCTGTCAATCCCGTCAATTTTGCCTGGCCTAAATTCTTCACACTCGAGTCGTGTCGTTTCTATCATCGCGCTCGGCGAGGCTCAAGTCCGCCCGAGTTCCCGATGCTCACCAAGCTTCGACGGCTGTATCCTCTGTCCATATTGAAAGCATTGCAAGTAGCCATTCTGATTAAGTAAATTGCTTTATACCATAGCGACGAGATCAACCTTGACCAACGAGAAGCAACAAGTCGACCGATAGACCCTATGGCCGAACTTGTGAGGGAGGACGGGCTGCTCAGCAACGCTGCCACATCTTGACCGAGTCGATGGCCATGCCTCGCTTCTTGGGGTCGCTCGGCCACGAAGGAAGCCATCGCGTCCTTGCGGCCCAGAAGTCTGCGACAGGGTTGGAGCCGGCGTTCTGCCAAGGCTTGTTGCGCTCGGCATCACTGAAGTAGCCGTTGGTGCCTCCGACAGCGACGTTGAGGATCAGGTAGAATTTCTGATCAAACGGCGCGCCCTTTTTTCCGTTCCAGGGATCCTGAATGGCAGTGCCGTTCCAGAGCAGGTGCGACAGACGGCTGAACGCGAAGAAGTCGCGGTTCATGTCGAGCGTCATGATGTGACGGCTGGGCTTGTCTACCCAGGTGGTCAGAGATGTCGGGGTCCAGTCGAGGCCGTAGGTGTGGAAATCCTCGGAAAAGTAGTCACGGGGAACCGAGAAGTTGGAAGTGGTGAGGCCCCATCGATCCGTGGCCGCCGAGGGTCCCCAGTGTAGCGTCGACGTGACCGAGTTCTGGTATCGGTCCTTGCGGGACTGGACTGTGTTGCCCTTGGACTCGACAATGTCGATCTCGCCGCTGCGAGGCCACTCTCCATAGACGGAGTCTTCGGGCATCATCCAAATCGCTGGCCAGATCCAATCGCCAACGGGAAGACGAGCGCGAACCTCGATCCTGCCCCTGCTGATGGAAGCTTTGGTGCGGATCCTAGCCGACTTGATCGGCTGAATGACGGTGCCGAGCGTCGCATTCGAGCTGGTCTCGCAGGCGCCCTGGGTCTGCGGAAAGGCGGTGCACGTGCTGTTGAGGCTATAGGTGTAGTTGCCCGTGATCGCAGTCTCGCCGATCTCATCCGAGGTGAGCGTAGGGACCAGGTAGAGCTTGCCATCTTCGATGAACGAGTTGTTGGACTGTGTGGTCGTCATCTCGAACTCATGATTACCGAAGCCGTCGGTCCTCACCTCGTACTCCCAGTTGTCGGTGTTGAGCGTGGTTCGGCCGGAGAAGTCGTCTTCGAAGGCGAGGCAGAGCTTTTGCTGCGGCGTGTTGATCCATCCGAATGCAATCACGACGGCGGCCAGGATGACTGAAAGGAGGCTGAAGAAGCCAAAGGCAAGGCTGTGCTTCTGCTTTCCCGCCTGTTTCGAGCGTATGTCTTCTGTGCCTGCCATCGAGGATGGCTGCGTCGACTGTGCGTTCCCTGCTTGAGCTCCCAAGACAGGGACTGTCTGGAAAGACGAGGGTGGCTCGGTCTTCTCGCTTGTGCTGCCCGAGCTGTAGGAATTGGAATTGGGAAGATGGATGACCGAGGATGCAGCGCTGTTGTTGCCGGAAGAGGGGAATCCTGGAGTCGAGTGGCCATTGCTGCTCGTCCTGTAATGGTTGCGCAGGAAGTGGGGAACTTGCGAGGAAGGAGACCAGCTAAAGCTCTTCTCCTCGTTGGGAGTAACGGTGCCAGAAGGCCCAGTCATTGTGATCTAAGATGCGACGGAAGATGACGAATGGGAAAGGGGACGAGGAAGCTTCGACCACTAGAGCAATAATATCGTAGACGGAAGGAAAGATTCCAAGAAGGACGATGCTGGTGTTATGTGGGAAGAGCAAAGGCTGAGGTTGGACGGAAAGAAGGGAAAGTGCAAGGAAAGGCATTCATACCAAGGTGCCATCCCCGCCCAGAAGAGCTCGCAGTCCTCGCATCACACTCGAAACTCTTCAAAGTCTCGAGCCTGGACCAGGCCGTATCGGAGTCGCGGCAACACAGGCAAATCAGGCGCACAGCACAACTTTTGGGCGTGGAGATGCTTTGGGGGCGCACCGATGGCCGTATCCGCCCACGATTACCGCGAGCGTTCGGCAAGTTTGTGACGGTCACCTTCAAATCGCCGGCGATAGGAAGAGTGTCGGGACTGAGGAGTCGTGCGTGAGGCATTCTCACCGAGCCGCCGCCGTCTACCCGTTGCCCGAGCACACAAGAGTGCGATCCGAGCACGATCGCGGTGAGACACACAAGCTGATGGACGCTGGTGGACGTTTCGCCTGTCCGTCGTCCCTGCACCGGAGATTCCCACGCCGAGACCAGGAAAGCCCACGTAGCGCAGATTGGAGTAGCTAGAATGTTTCGGATTTCTGCGCATTTTTGTTGTTTGTCCGGCTCTTCTGGGACCTGCGCCGATCGGTTTGGCGCCACTCGAGGCCGACGTTATGCATTGCGCCCAAAAAATTCCGGGTGCGCTTCTCTCGCCTAATCTTTTTCGCAGCTGCATGATCTTCCCTCCGAGACATTTTGGTTTCACCGCTGAGCCGCAAGTGCGGCTAAGACCTGGATGTCGGTCCTGCCAGCCGGAGCGCGGCGACGCCTTCCGTGCTCGCAGCAGAGCTGCTTCCACGCCCAAGTTCCACTTTCAGTCGCCGCCGCCATCCAAGTCGTCATGCGACAGACCGAATAGCTGGATGCACGCCAGCAAACAAATCCGCCCACCTGCACGCACAACTCTGGACCCACCTAACTCCGCAAGACAGGCACAAAGTTGGCGCGTGAGTCCGACAAACAGATGGTCCCACTCTTTTCTCGACCTTTCGGCCACCTCGCCCCAGCTCGACGTGCTTGATACGCCCTCGTAGTTTATCTCTTGGCCCGACATTCGGCAGTCGGGCTACCAAGCTCGCTGGACCCTACTTCCGCGGCCACACTCTGCAGCTCCGCCCAGCCCCAAATCCTGAGTTCGAGGCTTTGAAGTCTGCGCGCATCAATTTGCTCCGCCCGCGCAACAAGCTCGCCAACGAGGCGCCTGTCCGTGGGTACTGGTATTACGCCGGCCCAGGATCGCCCGTCGGAAAGTATGGCTCTTCTGCCGATCGTGATCATCCGACAACGGAACGTGGGTGCCTCGCTCGATGCCCCTGCTCTCAAACCGCTTGTCCGGTGAATCGCTTACACCCTCCTGCTCGTCTCCCGCACTGGTCTCACAAGGTTGCTCAGCTGCCGGCGAACCTTCTTCAAACCATCCTGCGGCCTTCGCGCGTTGGATTTGCGTCCTGGGTGCGCTTCGCCTCACTCGAATCGGAAGAATCGGCTTCCGAGTGCACGCCCAGGTAAGCACCTCCGCCATCCAGGTGTCAGCTGTCCAGCATCTCGAACCCTTTTTGCGTCGGCCATACTGACCGGTCTCCTTTTTCGGGGCGGCTAGAACACCTACCTGCATGTCTCGGCTGATTGGCTCCGTCTGCCCTCGATCCAAGCATTGCCTGCGTCCCAAATTCACTCGGTCTGCCATGTTCACCTCGGAGCCCGTCAGACGGGTGCGAGGTCCACTGCTTCTCGGCACGAACGTGCAAGAGTCTCGCGCCATCTTGCCTGCCACGGTTTCTGAGCTTTGCCAGAATGCACCAGTTTGCCCAGAGCTAATGCTCTTATCGATACCATGGGCCTCTCGCCGTATAGCTCGTACAGTCTCTTGAACACGGTGACCCCCGCTTGCGCGTTTGGCATAGGCCCATAACTTCTTTCATCCTGCCATTCATATCTCCTTCTTCCCCACTTCCATCAGCGTCGTCTCCCTTCCGCTTGTCTTTCCATCCTTCCATCATTGTCGTCCCTTTTGCTTATCTTTCTCCAAGATCTTGCACTTCCTCCTTTCCCCCTCCCTCTCAATCCTGTGACGGCCCTCCCCTCTAACGTCAAGCCACTCCCCATTCTTTTTGCTCACGCACCCTCAAGCATCCTTCTCGTCACCATCGCTGATACGCAGCTGCTCGCAAGATGAAGCGCACCGATTCAACCTCGAGTGTTTCGTCGCTGCCTTCGCTGCCGACATTCAACCACAGCCTCACTCCGTCTTCAAGTAACGCTGGCCATGCTCGAGCTTATCCTTTCGGCAATTACGAAGACGATATGGAAGTGATGGAGTCGGATGATGATGAACGCCACGTTCCGTCTTCGTCCGCCTCTTCCTCCAGCAACCATCACATGGGCTCGTCTTCTGGAAAGCAAAGATATGGCTCGTCACGTCGCACCGACTCGTACATTCTTACCACGTCGCCCTCCACCAACTCTCCGGGCTCCTTTACATTCCACTCGACCTCGGAAGATCCAAGCGAGGCAGGCGCCTCCACCGATGCGATCCACGCCTCGCTCGTGCTCGCTCGCCATATCTTCTCGGTGGCTGTCACCGAAAAGTGGTGCCGTCAAGACAACTTCTCCAACGCTGTGGCCGTCCGCGTCAACGTCGGAAGCTACATCCTCTACCCGCAAGAGGGCTCGTCCATGCCTGCCTTCTCGCGAGCCATGCTCGAGCTCAACTGTGATGCGGCCATCATCATCAACACCCCGCTGGTGGCAGCTGCCCTCTCCACCCTCAACCCAGGAGAGGATGAGATCCGCCTGAGCTCCTCCAAGCGTGTCCAGGTGGTCAAGAGCCTCGACTACCTCGGCGGTGCTCGACGTGCTCAGATGGCCGCATTCTCGGATACCGAACAGGTGCTGGTGATCTGGACCGAATCGTGCCGAGACCTCATCGAGCAGGTCCGCGCTTTCGAGCGCCTGCTGGTCGACTACGTGTGGTCCATCACTGCTGATCCGACGGCCTCGGCTCGACACAGCATGGTGTCGCGTTCGCCCTCGCTCATGTCGCTCAACACCGCGGTCGAGAACACGGTGGTAAGCTCGGCTTCCGCCGAGTCGGACCTGGCTCAGCTCGAGAGCTATGTGCCGGAAGTGCGCAAGGCGGAATGGTTCGCGGGAGCGGTGCGTGGCCTGGGTGTCTGCATCGCCACTGTGGTGGTGGCCAATTGGATCCGAACCATCGTCCAGGCTGTCCGCCTCGACGGCGAGCCGATCTACCTCGTTGCTCTTCTTGCCGTGCTTCCGATGTTCTTTGTGCTCCTTCCGATGGCGGATAGTGTGGCCAGCTGCGTCTCCATGGCCATCGGACCGATCCGTCCCATGATGCGCAACTCGCGATACTACTCCGGCATCACACCCGAGCCTCCCGTCGGCAAGACCATTCTTCCTCACGTCACCATCCAGGTACCTGTCTACAAGGAGTCGCTCGTTCAGGTTCTCCAGCCCACGCTCGACTCCGTCAGGGCCGCCATCACCGAGTACGAGCTGCAAGGCGGTACCGCTTCTATCCTCATCGCTGAAGACGGCATGTTGGTCGTCGACGACGAAGAGCGAGAGGCGCGTCTTGACTTTTACCGTCGCCACGACATTGCTTGGATCGCCCGTCCACGTCACGGAGACATGTTCACCCGTGCAGGTCGCTTCAAGAAGGCCTCCAATCTCAACTTCAGCATGCAGATCTCGAAGAAGTACGAAGAATCGATCCTCGCCAACCCCAACCAAGACCGCGAATCTCTGCTTCAGCGCATCTTGAAGGAGCGACACCCAGAAGCCACCGGCGAGGGCGACGTCAGCGTGGGCGAGCTCATCCTACTGCTCGACTCCGACACGCGTATCCCCGCTGACTCGCTTCTTCCCAGCGCCTGGGAGATGGCGTCTTCTCCCGATGTCGCCATCCTTCAGCACTGCTCGGGCGTTCTCATTGTCGGTTCGGGCTTCTTTGAAAAGTCGCTCGCCTACTTCATGAGGTTCATCTACTTTTTCATCTCTTGGCAGACGGCGACTGGCGAAGTCGCCCCCTTTGTCGGCCACAACGCCTTCCTCCGCAAGTCGGCGATCATGGAGCTGGCAGAAGAGTCGCTTGGACCCAAGAACAGCGACGGTCACATCAAGCCGTGGTCCGAGGAGACCGTCTCCGAAGATCTCGACGTCGGCCTCCGTCTGCTCCTTCGCGGTTGGATTACGCGCTGGGTGACCTACTCCAACTACGGTTTCCAGGAAGGTGTCTCGCTCACCTACGTCGACGAGGTCAACCGTTGGCGCAAGTACACGTTCGGCATCTTTGAGCTCTTCCTCAACCCGCTCTGGCGATGGCCGATGCAGGGCCCCGTGCCCAAGCTCATTCGCACCGTCTTCTGGTCGAACAAGGTGCCCGTCCACTACAAGTTCCACCTGCTCGCCTACGCCGCCGGCTACGTTGCCATCGGAATCTCGCTGCCCAGCGCTCTGGCACTCTACTTTGTCTCGGGCTGGCTCGGTCCGTGGTTGCTGCCGTTCTTCGTTCCCTCGTTCCAATACTGGGTTGTTTCGCTGGTCATCTTTGGCGCAACAGGCGCGCTCGGCGTCACGATCGCGCGTCACCGCAGCGGCGATGCCAACATCTTCCGCGCGCTCGCACAGTTCCTTCTCTGGTACCCGATCAACCTGGTCACCATCGTCTCGCTTTCGATTCCGCTCGTCAAGGCCATGGTGTCGTTCCTCGTCTCTCTTCCGGTCTCCTTCGGCGTCACCGCCAAGGACGACAGCAACTTCCACTTTGCCAAGGAGGCTCCTCTCGTGCTTCGCCACTTCTGGCAGTCGAGCACCATCTGCCTCGCCATCGTGGCCGGCGTCAGCGTCTTGGCTACCTCGGCGGTGCCCATCACGTGGCAGATCACGGACTGGCCTACGATGCTGCCCCTCCTCTTCATCTCGGTCGCCACCCTCGTCTCTCCTTTCCTCCTCAACCCCGCGCTCATCCGCTTCTCCTTCTAATTGTCGCATACACGGTCTCTTTGTCGCAATGGTATCCGGTGCCTGTCATCCGCATGAGTGTGCTATGTGTGCCGAGTTGCGTTCTCCCATTCAGCTTGGAGCGTCGGGGCGTAGGGTTGCTCATCGGCAGAAAACGACGCCGATTCCCCGCCCCGAGGCAATATCCAAGAGGCGATATCCATGGCTATCTCGGCATGCGGAGAACCAAGGACAGGTGGCGTCACCGAGTCGACCGAGCATCTCTGCCACGCTACGCAAGCGGCGGAAGCGACGCACGGTCGAGGCGTTCGCATGCTGCTAGGAGAGACCAGTGTCGGACCACTTGCCCGTGCGACTGCCAGTACAGCGCGGAGACATGCGTGTGCATTTGCGTGTGCAGAGCTTTCGTGGACTGGGATGCCGCTGTCGATGGCATGGTTCATCCGAAGTGGACCAGTCCCGTTCCACTTGCGATTAAGCGTGAGCCCGTATCCGGCCGGACCGGAGGACTGGAGAACGCCACATTTCGATACGGGCGGATGCGCGAGATCAAGAAGTCTTCATCAGGAGTGAGATTGCGTTCGCATTGTTGCAGTGCTACGACGGTGGTGGTGATGAGACGATCGGACGTGTTGCCAGGATGGGTCGGCGCATGTGAGCCGTCACCCTAGCCGCTAGCCCCGGCAGATCAACGCAAGAGCACGGTCCACTTCGATCTTTGCGCGTTCCATTGATTCCCGAGAAAGGGTTACTGAAAGAAAAAGCAGGAAATCGTACGCACAAATTGAATCCGAAATTGGCTCGGAGTTAGAATCTTGAAAGATGAGGGTTAGGGTTAGGGTTAGGGTTAGGGTTAGGGTTAGGGTTAGGGTTAGGGTTAGGGTTAGGGTTAGGGTTAGGGTTAGGGTTAGGGTTAGGG